GGAAAGGCAGCAGCGCCCCCTGCCGGCCGCTGTCCCCACAAAGCTCCGCACACCGGCTGGAAAAACAGCTCCTCTCTGGGAGCTTCCGTCCCTCCCCAGTTCAAGGCATTTTCTACCTGGGTGAAAAGTGAAATACTCTGTCAGCTGTTGGGCTGTTCTGGACACATATCCCCAAGTAATTGTTTGCTGGATGTTTTTGCCAAATTGACTATCTTTTTAAGGTAATAGGGAGGAAAGACAACGGGTTTTAAAAAGTCCTAATAATCCAAACTCTTCAACTTACCAGCCGTATCGTCATTGTCAAAGTCCCCCTCCGCGCAGGTGGAGTGTGACGCTGGCCGAACCAGGTCAGCACGGAGCGGAGACTCCACAGACAGAGACAGGCACTGGGCGCAAGGGTCATGCAGCAAGGCCGGGCGGCAGTTATTGCTCCCGCTGGATTTCACAACGAATGCTCACCGCGGAGACCCGAGTCTCATTGGACCCCAGGCATGGGGGCTGGGGGATGCTGGAGGGATTTAGACTAAGAATTTGTAAAATGCCCTGCGGAAAGGGCTCCTTTTCCCGTGCACACCCAGGTGTCACTGGGGCGGGTGTGATCCTGGTGTCTACCTCCAAAGCCCTCACCCTTCCCTTCTGCCTCACCAGGGGCTATGGTGCCTCAAAAACACAAGTCCAACCCTGGCTTGATGGCAGATCGGGGATGAATGAGCTCAAACTACCCAACGCACAGGCTCCTTCTGGTGAGGCTGCCACAGGTGACCAAGAGTATTTCCTGACACCTGGGTGCCGGAGGCGTGGGTCCCCCAGGGAAGAGCTACGTGGGAAGACAAATCCATGTCAGATTTCCTATGAGCATGTTTCTGGGCCTCGCTCCAGCCCAGTGGAAGCTGAACTTGTGGATGGGAGGGCAGGACTCCCAACAGCTCCCCAGATGAGTCTTATGCACTTTAAAGTGTCAGAATCAATGCCACGGGGACCCTAAAATAGCGAAGGAGCATGCTGAAGTGGTCAGAGAAAAAAGGCAAGTTACATGCAAATTCAGTATATATAAAAACAATCCATTCGTGTGCTGGCTGGTGTGGCCTCGTGGTTAGAGTGCCGGCCTGTGCACCAAAGGATCATGGGTTTGATTCCTGGTCAAGGGCACATACCTGGGTTGCAGGTTCGATCCCTGGCCCTGGTCAGGGTGTGTGTGGGAAGCAACTAATTAATGTTTCTCTCTCTCTCCCCCTCCTTCCCTCCCTCCCTTCCATTGTCTCTAAAAATCAATGGAAATCCTCCAGTGAGGAGTAACAAAAAAAAGCAAAAAAAAATCCATTTGTGTGTGTGTATTTGTGTGCATGTGTGTGTGTATACTAGATACCCAAGATTAACAGCAGTTACCACTATATCGCAATTTCTCAGTCTGGACAATATTAACATTTGGGGCCAGGTAATTCTCTGTGGTGGGGGCCCTCTCGTGCATTGCAGATCTTCAGCAGTATCCCAGGCCTCTACCCTCTCGATGCCAGTGGCACCCCTTAGTGGTAACCATCAAAAACGTCTGCAAACATTCCCATATGTCCCCTGGGAAACAAGATGTGGCATCTGGAGAGTCACTGCCCTAGATGGAAGATATGCTGGATGATGTTTTCCTTTGTTTTTAATGTATCTGTTCATTTTTTAGTTATTTTTTCTAAAATGAACATGAAATATTTTAGTCATGTAAAAAATTCAGTGTTTCTTAATGTCCCGTTGCCTGTGCCGTCCAAAAAACACACACGATCAGATGAAAAGATATTTGTATTTATAGTAAGTAAACTAACTTTATTATGATTTTAAAATAAGTGTGGAAAAACATACACAAAGGCCTCCCAACTGTCAATATCCCATAAGAGGCTTTCAAATATTCATAACCTTCAGAACAGGCATTCTGATCTTAAGTATGTGTCTTAAAGAAGCAGTTCTGAATATTGAAAATGCTTTACAAATGTGGTTGATTTTTGCAGAGTCACTTATAAAAACTAAAACTTCTAGACACTCTAAGACCAGCAAAAGGAAACTACATTAGTTATGGCACATTCACCTGGCGGACTCTAGTACAGTATGAAAGTGGCATTTACAAAGCATTTATAACAACAGGGGAGAAAGGTTTATGGCAGACTGTTAGGTGGGGAAATGCATACAAAATCGACGCTGTCTCATCTCACTGGCAAGTGTAACAATGACGATGCAGAGAACAGGACGCACCCACAGGCCAGAAGAAACACAGTCACACCAAGATGTCAAAGAGTGACCGTCAATACGCTGGTGGCAACCTGGGTGAGTCTCTTCTCTCTAATCTTCTGGAATGTCCAGATTTTCTACAAAAAAGCATGTATGTGTATTCATAGTGTGAGAGAGAGAGAGAACAGTAAAATATATATATGTTTTAAAACTTTGAAATGAGCACAAACAGAAATGTGCCCAAATGTCAGGTAAGAAATATGTCTTTATACTGATCTACACACAAATTTCCATCCCATGATAAAAATAACTGTTCAAAAATTAAACTCATTCAGAAAGTGCAGTATAGACTGAATGTGCTCGTATCCACACTCGCCGCTCTGCGGAGGATTCAATCTGTACGTGATTGGCCTGCGCACATGGCCGGTAACAGGCGGAATGCAGTGACGCGATAAACTGCAAACAGGAAATGATTTCTGTGAAAAACAAACTGGACAGGGGTTTTTTCCAACCTGGGATCACAGTCTTCAAAACCAGAGGACGTCATTTAGAAGGAGCTAAATAACTTGGGTTTGATCAGGATGAACTAATAGGACAGATTTCAGGCACGTCGTTGATTTTGACCCAACTTGTTTACATGCATCCGGGGTGACGGGCCACCCCGTGGTGACAAAACAGCCGCTGCAGACAAAAGGCGGACCTCGAGTGGGAAGGCGGTGTTTGCCAGCCCGCCTTTCCCGGGGGCCCAGGGCGTGCTCCTGTTCCTTCACCACTCGGCCTTTCATGTGGCCGCAGACTACATCCTACAATAGACCTCAAAGAGGGAGGCGGCTGCGTGCATCCGGTAGAAAATGGAAAAGGGCATGGCCAGGTTCACCACAATGATCCAGGGCTCGAAGCCAAAGACGATTTCCTCCAGTCCGTTGTCGTACTCAGGGCGGCAGCCAAAGGCGGGCGGGATCCAAAGCTGTAAGAGAAGGGAGACCGTCCACGCCACTGCCTCGGAGGCCCAACAAATCCCAGGGGCCCACCTGTTCAGGGAGACTGAGTCCACCTGTCACAGCGACAAGTAGCCTCTGTGCCAGAAGCTGCACAGTCCCCAAAGGGCCTTTCTTTCCCCAGGCTCCAGGCCTTTGCTCCTGCCTCTTTCTCTATCGGGGACGACCTGGCTTTCCTCTGCTAAATCCTACCTTCCTGAGTCCTGAGACACCACCCTTCCAAACCCTCCTTGATCCAACCAGTCTGGGCAGGAACGCCCTCTGTGTTCCCAGGGCCCCCACGTTTACCTACAGCAGAGGTCGCCTGTTGACCCACCTTTATGTGCCAACATTGGTACTTGGACATCCCAGCCACACAGGTCTGGGCTGTGAGTTCTGTGGTCTCCTGTCTGTCTTGTCCTTGGCTTAAAGGCAGCCCGGACCCTGCCTGCATCCCCCTGGCCAGGGGGAGGAGCACGTGCTTTGGAGACAGACCTGAGTTCATGCTGCTTATAGAGTGTAACTTCCTCAAGCCTCGGTTTCCTCATCTGTAAGATGGGGATGCTAACACCCATCTCCAAGGGCTCAGAGGAGAATAAAATGGCAACTGATTTGCAAAACCTAAAGCAATAACCTATTTCTTTTGTTGCTCACGGGACCTACACACTGGTCCCTCCTTCTCAGTCGCCCTGTCCCTGTTCCATCTCCCCTTACATTGTCAGGCTCCCAGGCCCATTTCTCTTCCAGGCTGCACACCTCCGCAGCTCTGTCCATTCCATGTGGTGGCAGGCAGCCTCTCGGATGACCCATGACCCTGCCTCCTGGAGTTACATCCTCATGGAGCCTGTCCCCTTCAGTTGGGCTGAACCTAGTGACTTGCTTCCAACAAACAGCACACGACTAAGTGATGGGATGTCACTTCTGGCATTAGGTTACAAAGGACCCTGGGGCCCATCTTGCTTGTCCCCCCGTCAAGAGAGGAAGCAGCCCCTGCACTGTGAGCTGCCCCGTGGACAGACCACGTGGCCAAGACCTGAGGGAGGTCTCAGGTCCGCAGCCAGCGAGGAAGTAGATCCTGCCAATAGCTCATAAATGGCCTAGGAAACAGATCCCTTCCCCACCCAACAGTCAAGTCTTGAGCTGACAATAGCCAGTGAGAGGCCCTGAGCAGAGGCACCAGCTAGGATTGGGTTCCTGACCCGGAGAAACCATGAAATAATAAATGTGCATGGTTTCAAGTTGCTAAGTGTAGGGGTCATTTCTTAGGCAGCAATAGCTAACTGATACCTGTGGTTTTCACTAACATCTCCATCCAGAACTCCCCCTGCTTCACATCTCCATCCCATTGTGTTATCTGGGTTCTGTGACATGGAGGGTCCTACTGCCCCCCCCCCCCC